TAGATTTTGATTAAATAAAATATTGTCATTCCTTTCTAAAAAAAATTTTTTTTAATTATTAATTACGTAATGGTTGATTAACAACTACTTAAAATAACATTATGACCTTACACAATTATTAAAATAATAGAAACAATCGAAGAAACAAAGCCTAAAGAATAAACATATATTTAGAAAAAAATTGGAAAAAGTTCTAAATGCAAAGAAGTTTCTATATATTATTTTTAAGAGTAACGATGAAGTCATCAATATAATCGACAATATCATTAAGCGTTGTGTTTTAAAGGACTACATACATATAATAATATATTTTTGATGCTTTATTTTGATCTTACACAGAAATATGCGGATATCCAAATACTTTTAGACGGTAGTGTATATATAAATAAGCCACACAGTTCAGTACCTTTTTCTCCTTTGTTTTGTTTTAGTCGAATTTCTACCACTGGATGGACACTAATTTTATTATTATTTTATAATTCCATTTGTCTAGGAATCTAGGATATAAGAAATCCAATATCTTATTTCCATTGAGTCTTTCCTGTAAAAAGTAAACTATGTCCTTCCCAGGGTTTCAAACTATCTTCATCATCAAATTTCATCTAAATCGGTTTTGGTATATCCAGAGATTACCCCCTACAACGTAACAAACTCACAATCTCACAAACTTTACCTCTTTATAATATTAATAAGTAATAAATATAAGTATAGATAAGTAGAGGCGACCTGAAATGCATATTTAATGTGTAGTGAATACATTTCTTAAAGATATAGAAAACAAAATAGAAAATCGTTTTATCTCTGTCTTAATGTAGGCATGTTGTTTTTTTTTCAGGAATTCGCTGGAACTTTTTTAAGATAAGTACTAAACTATTCTTCCTAACTAATAACAATTATATAGAGACTTGTAATTTCAAATAGTTTTAAAATAGTTTTTTTAAATTTTTTGTAAGCTTACGGGTAAGAGGTGTTGTAAGAATCAGATAAACTTAGCTGGTATCTAAAGTTAGTATTTTCTTTTGGCAACTATCGTTTGCTAGACGAGAGTTATGGTGTCACAATGTTGGCAAGTGCAGTGGGCAGGATGCCACAGTTCAATGACATATACTTAGTGCGTTGTTAGCCTACTTCTGACTATCAATTGTCTTCTAGTTCGCATATTAATTTATCATAGACAATGTATTATTATATTAGTTATCGTTATATAATAATTTATTGTCACATTACTGAGACCTCTGAGTTACGGTTTCCAACAGATTACTTCATGAGAACAATTTGTTATGTCGGGATAAAATGTTGCCTGTCAGTACTCTATCTATACATTTATGTATAAAATTGTAACTAAACCAATCTGTACGTTAAATATTTTTTGGAAAATTTTATTGAAATAAACATTATTATCGATACAGAGGCCGAATCTATAGTTTTTAGAATTTTTGTCTGTCTGTCTGTCTGTTATCGCATCACAGAAAAACCACTGGAAGGATTTTGATGAAAATTGGTATGGTGATAGCTGGTTACGCGGGTCAACATATAGGATACTTTTTACCGCCAGAAAATATCTCATTTCTGAGAAAAAATACAAAAACTGTAATGTAAGACTATACTAATATGTAAAACCTAAGAGTTTCTTTTTAAGTCATCTGAACGCGGGCGAAGCCGCGGGCAATGCTAGTCGGCTTATAAACTTATGATCCTTCGCACTGTTGCTTCATCGAAGAAGATATATCAACGTTACACACACAAGATAATATAATATTTTGCGATTATAGTAATGATCTTTGAACAATTTTTATAGGTTATGAATAAGTAGCTTTTTTATATTGAAATATTTATCAATCGTTTGATTTTTAAAAGATCTGAAAGAAGTTGAATCTATTTTTTATTATTTCTTTTATATAGACTCGAAGAAACAACATTTGATAGACAATAGTCGAGTTTCTTCGGAATTTTTTGAAATTAATCTAGTTTATATGTTAAAAAATAATTGTAAAAATTATTTCTTTGTTATTCATTCAACATTTGGGCGAATTCTATATTGTAAAAGAATTTTTATTACGTTATGAGATTTACTATGACACCTTTATAAAGAAATATACTAAAAAAATATACGGAAGTTTTTTTTATTTAATTGCTACCCTATTGTACAAAGGAAAAATTATGATGAATACTAATTGTATAAAGCCGTAAGCCTTTTATCGAAAGAAACAATGGCTATAAATAATTTTAAAGTAGGTTAGTGCATAACAATTAGGCAGAGTAATGAAATATCGCAGTTCTTTTGCGAGTCATTATTTTTATAAATATCTTTCAATCTTACAGTATTATCCTTTATTGTTTATTAGCTGTTTCATTGAGTACAGAGAATATAATAAAAACTTTTTAACAAATAAAAAAAACAGTCGAATTGAGAACCGCCTCCTTTTTGAAGTCGGTTGAAAAGCTCATATTACTTGTCAAATATAAGGTATTTATGGTACTACTAGCGACTCATCCTCGCTCCGCTCGGGTTCATCCCTTCTTACGTTTTAACGTTTAGTATAGATTTCTCAGAGACGAGATATTTTCCCGCAGTAAAAAGTATCCTATATGTTGACCCGGATAACCAGCTATCACCATACCAAATTTCATCAAAATCCCTCCAGTGCTTTTTCCGTGATGCGGTAACAGACAGACAGACAGATAGACAGACAGACAGACAGACAAAAATGCTAAAATATATAGATTCGGTCCCTATATCGATAATAATGTCTATTTCAATAAGATTTTCCAAAAAAATACTTAATGTACAGATTCGGCTTAGTTACAATTTTATTTTATGTATAGATTTAAAGAAAGTTTAACAACAGAAAGCATTACCTATGTCAGCACTTTGAATATATTTAAGTTCCATGTGGGCCGTATCTTAGCGTTATGCAGAAGGTAATAAATCGCAAAATTTATGAGAGCTCTTAAACAAATGAGAGAATTTTAACGATAAGTACCTGTACTTTCCGCCGGAAACCTGTCATTTGTCAATGAATTAATATGTTATTTAGTTCGACGTGAAACGCTTTACTTTGAAATTGAATAATATTTTTTCATTAAATAGCACACTTATTGCATGACCAATTGTGATTTTACGTTTATATACAAAATAAAATTAAAAAAAAATATGTTTAGTAAATACATAAGATTTGTTGAACAATTTTATATGTAATACTTTCTTAGATTTACGCGAATATTTAACATTTTAAATAAAACTATATTTTCCTAAGTCACCTAAGTCTATAATAATATAAATAGGCAAAGAATGGAAAAGTTTCAACCGTCCGGTTAAATGAGACGATGTATTTTCAAGTCACTGACTTTGATGAGGAATAGAAATGTAATTACAGAATAAGTAGATGTAAATGTAAGCACATCGTATTATGATTTAATTGTACGAGAGCTTTAACAATTTTTAAATCAAATTTTAGTAAACAGTAATAATAATAATATTCCATTATGTATAATTTACACTTTACAAAAAGCCGCTTTACAAAACATCTGTCGAATTACACGAAAATTTCTAGCATCCTCAACCGAGAGTAATATCTTCTTTTTGAAAGAAAGAAGAGAAGATAAATTTCTTTTAAAAATAATAATAATAAATATTAATTATTTGTATATAAATATTAATAATTTATTGACATTATTTTTATACATACACAGGTGATAAAGATTTCCCTCGCCCCTGCGCTCGTTAAAAACTGTGTTGCAGGAGCCAGTGTCATCCCCATATATAATGACAGCAGGCAGTTAAGTATTATGAAATGATTATGTTATATTATGTACTAGCGACTCAGCTCCGCTCCGCTCGGGTTCGTCCCTAGTTACGTTTTAACGTTTAGTACTCAAGAGATATTTTCCCGCAGTACAAAGTATTCTATATGTTGACCCGGATAACCAGCTATCACCATACCAAATTTCATCAAAATCTGACCAGTGGTTTTCTCATGATGTCACAGACAGACAGACAAAAATTCTAAAAACTATATATTCGGCCTCTGCATCGAGTTGCATTGATAATAATGTCTATTTCAATAACATTTTCTAAATATTTAATGTACAGATTCGACTAAGTTACAATTTTATTATAAGTATGTATGGATTTAATGTTATATGAAGATTGAAATCTTTTATAATGCTTTTATAATGACAAAAATTTTCCTAAAGCAAAATAAACTGTAGTTTTAGAAGTTTGGGAAAATTGAATAATCTCGATATTTCATATGATATTATACACTTTTTGTTACCATTATATACTGACATGTTATAATATTTTGTCTAGAATTTGAAAGGAGTTCGCAACACATACGTCGACTCTACATTATTGTTGCTACGTTGTTTGTATTGAAAACGAACACAGAAAAAACAAGCGTTCATATGTGAAAACCGCGAAGCATCACTCAACACCCGTCTGCGAACTTGCAATTTTTGATTTCCATTTCATATGTCGTAAATTTTGATCGTTAGCAAAAATTGTTTACAGGTAGCGAGCGGGTTGGTTAAACCAATACATTAAATAAAAATCTGTTCTGGTAAGTTTCAGACGTCGATATTTACGTACTGAATGATTAACTATGCTATTGTTTCTTGAAGGAAATCAGGAAAGCTTTAAAGCTAAGCCGTGAGTGATACACTGTTCAGTGAGTTTAACGCGTTTTTAACGGCCGATGTAAATACAGCGTTAAAATTTTGCAGTCTTGTTAGTTTCTCTTGCAGCGTGCCGAGGACCGGTGTACGCGCACACGCACAGTTCAAACACGCAGCGTATTTCAATTTTTGTTTATGAGTGAAAAAAGTGATAGGTGTGTTTTTTCTTTATATTTACAGATTTTTTGATTTTTGGGTTTATATAAATTTAAAAATATTTCAGTAATTATATCTTTTCGTTGTCGATAAAACGAATTTATGATTAGTTATGTATAATGAGTGTCGTTTGTTAATCTTAAACGGACTTTTAATTTGACAGCGTAATGAATTTGAAATTGAACAACGAGGTAAGGAGCTCAGTCATCTTGCTTCCTACAGAGCCTCCTACGTCTGTAAAGGTAATTGTAATAAATAAATATTTACAATCGTGTGACTATTTTCCAATCTTTATAATATTCTTTTAATGATAGTTTATTTTAGTTAGAATATTTTATCTTATTTATTATATTCCACTTTTTATGACTTATTTAGAATTGATTTTTGCTAAGCATTATAAAGTAATAATTTTTTATAATTTTATAATGCTTGGCACACATCATTTCCATATATATATATATATATATATATATATATATATATATATATATAATAGTCTTTATTATTTTTTAATATATTTTTTTGTTTTCATGTCATATTTTCAAAAAAATGTAAAATGAAAAATAAAATAATGGTATAAAGCAAAATTCTTTTTTCTGTCAATATATCCATTAGTAAATATTTGACTTAATGATTAAATACACACCTTTTATACTGAAAAAATCTGTTTTATCGTTTTTTGCTCCTACCAATAATCCTAATACACACCGTATTACTGAAAATTCAAGATAGACACATGTTTATCTTTCGCAACATAGTGTAATTTAGTGGTAGCTTTTATCAAAAGCTTAATCTATGTGCTTTAAATAATAGAGAAGAATAAAAATTAAAAACCAGTTATAAGTTTCTTTGTATGATGTAAATATGTTAAAAGTGTTTCTTACATTATTACTACAAGTGCTTTAAAGATGCTTCAAATTAGAATATTTTATTTTATTTGAAATGGAAAAAAAAATTTGTCTTATAAGTATAATATAAATCTTTACTAATGTTATACACATAGCATTTCCTATTCACATTTGCCAATATATCGAACTATGTATATTCTGACGTCTCTGTAGTTTTTTTTTAATGTACCTAATGATTATAGTTATTTTGTGTGTTATTCTATGGCTATCTATTTAAGAAAATAGGTAAAACAAGCAAATTCGCATGATTTAACTAGGCTCTTCATTTAGTTTGTACGTTATATAGATTAAGTCATAGGAGAATAGGTTAAGTCATAATGCTTCCATTCTCTATATTATAATTCCATTATTGGAACTAGAGTACTCAGTTAAGGGATTTGATAAACTTTGAAATAACAACCGTTTTATATATTCATTTTCTATGAAATTGATGACTTTCATCGATGGCAAAAATACTGAATGGCGGTTTTATCAAGTCAACAAGTTTACACGGACGGTTTCACAATTAGGAGAAATATATATCTATTTAAAATAAAACATATGTATAGCGTTCCTAATGATTTATGCACTTATATATATTATTGACATACAATACCGTAAATGGTTTGAAACCATACCATGAAGACTTGACCAACCTCGACCAAGATGACCATATTCATGAAGACATTCAATCATGAGATAACCTAAGAGGCTAAAAAGTTCCAAAAATATATTTCTATGGCAGTCAAAGCTCCCTCTGCAAAATTAACAACAAACAAACAAACAGAAAATAGGCATCTCATATCCCATGTAACTCTCAAATAACTCGTACACTCCATTTATTGAGCTCTTTTCATTGCAACTTTTGTAATCGTTACGAATTCGTTGATAAAGAATACTCAGTCGTCTTTAGAAACAAATCTAAACCAGTTAAAAGTAAAGATTTCAAATGCAAATAAAAAGCTACGTAGTATGAAGACTGAAGTATACATTTAAGAAAAATGAGTTCAAGTTATTTTATGTTTTATCTAAATAAAAATAAGCTACAAGTAAGCGCGTCACGTCAGAACGGCTGGACCGATTTGGCAAATTTTTTAAATGTTCGTATTAATAAGGATGTTAGAGGAAAAAAAAAAAAAAAATAAGAAAAATGAAATTTTAGACAGTATATTTGTAAGCTCAGCTTGCTTCCCGTATATTTGTTTCTTATTATTGAAATATTTAGCCCAGTTTTGAGCAAGCGTAATTTAATCAACATCGTGTATTGACTAGTTGATGTGGTTGAGGCGAGAAATCCCGACAGGTGCCCAGGGATCGTTATTTATCTAATAACATTAATATAATCATAGTGTCACCTTTACCGATTTAATGATTAATACAAAAGTAACCCCTAAGACATAGGCGTTAAAATGAAAATTGTATAACAAAATTATACCAACTAGCATTATCAGAAGCTCCGTACCATTTGTATGAAATCCATTAACAGACGAAGCATGTTTCGTACAACCGATGTTGGATTAAAACTATTTAACTGGATAAGCTTTGAAATTTCTAAATACTTCATAGCTGTTAGTATTAATTGAGTTTTCACCTTGTTTCAATTTAAGATAATACATAACTGCCTCTATAGTATTACATATTAGCATTGCCCACGGCTCCGCCCGCGTTCAGATGTCCAAAAACCAAATTCTTAGGTTTTACATATTAGTATACTCTTATAATGCAGTTTTTGTATTTTTTCTCAAAAATAAGATATTTTCTCGCGGTAAAAAGTATCCTATATGTTGACCCGGATAACCAGCTATCATCATATTAAATTTCATCAAAATCTGTCCAGTGGTTTTCTCGTGTGCGGTAACAGACAGACAGACAGGCAACAATTCTAAAAACTATAGATTCGGACTCTGTATCGAAAATAATGTCTATTTCAATTAGATTTTCCAAAAAATATTTAATGTACAGATTCGACTTAGTTACAATTTTATTATATGTATAGATTATATTATATATATAGTATTATTTATATTCCTAATACGCTTGTAATTTATTAGAAGACAATTAGGTATTTCTTTTAAAAATTGTTAATGATTATACCAGTGGTCATATATTACTTGTTCAATCAAATTTTAATGAAAGAAATTGGATTTTATCAAGAGTTTTGGCAACGTTTCATATTTGATTCCAAAAATTTTGGCAGTTTGAAAAATATGAAGAAAATATTTTTTCTTGGAGCGGTACGGAACAAGCCTCATTCATTATAAATATTTAATTCAATCTAAGATTTTGATTTGATTTTAATATTTTTGATTGAGATTGGATAAAGAAACTTGACTGACGTGATCTTGCCCCCCCCCCCCCAACGTGCGTTCACCTTGTCGTGGTGGGGGAGCTCAGTAGTGCCCGGCAATCCAACCGGGCGCGAAGCTAAGAAACGCACAGGGAGGTTGCCCACTTCGGTGGGCGGTGGGAGGTGGCCCTCTTCGGGGGGTGGTGTACCTTGCGGGTTGCTCCTGGTACTTCTCTGATAGCAGAGTGGACCTTGGAGCAACCCCATGGTTGTGGTGGTCTGTTTCGGCAGACCTGCCGTCGGGGCGCCGTAGTTGAATGCGTAAGCGATCCTGCGACGCCTCATTAAGACGGGGGAAGGTTTTGTTGGGTTTTAGTGGGTAGTACTGGCTGTATTGCGCCGCCCAACGTTAAAAATAAAGGTGATCTAGAGGCAAATCACGTAGTCACAGTATTATGTCATTTCCATATCATATTTTTAGTTTAGTTTTAGATATATCAATTGTACAAAAGCTACTTATTTAAAGGGACAGAGAGAGGCATCATTCTCATATAATATAGCATGTAAACATAGTATTTTAAAAATTCATTTCCTTTAATTCCAGGAAGAAAGACAACGAACCGGACGATATATAGCGATCTTGGTCGGCATAAGTCTGTTAATGTTGGCGTTGTACCACGCATGGGTTCGTCGAATTCCAGTTGTGGCAAGTCTTGTAGTACCCGCTCTGATCATGTTCGTGTACGTGGGTTGGGTGCTTTACACAGCTTCGAGGGACAAAAAGAGGGTATTTTTTTTGTTGATGATTATATTATTTTTAATATACTTTATACAGTACCTATAGATGCAGCAATAATTATCATTAAAGATTCGTGAATTAAAGATGGTAAGTACTCGTACATAAAATATATAAATAGTTATAATTGATATTAACAATAATATATGTTATGTTTAACTGCATCGATGATTCAGTGGCTGCAGATCCTGAGGTCCTGAGTTTGAGTCCCGGATCGGGCTAAGTTGTTTTTCTGACCAGAAATTCTTAGTAGCGTCCCGGAGTTGGAAAGTTGGCGGTGTTTCATCCACGTACCGCCTCGGAGACCACATGTAATATAACATTACTTAGCAATTTTCATGTTATTTTACTCTTCAATTTGTCTCTCTTGACTCAATCAGATTTAAAGTTTTTTCTATTATAAATTATCTCTATAATTAATTTCATAGCTTAGATGTGAAACTGAGAACGTAAACTTTTCTCATACTAGAGTTTGAGAAAAGTTCGATTATAATTTGATTAATGTCATTTTACTATTTGGCATCTGCTACGAGTATTGTGGCAGAATCGTGTTAGTGTTCATAATATATGAATATTAATAAAATTAAATGATTCATTTCACTTTTTATATTGTGTATTTTCTTATACTTTTTTATGTATAACAATGATTAATTGCTATTGATTATAACAATGATTAATATACAATGGTAAATTTTAATATTATACAATAGAACGAGTAGAGTTCGAGCATTGAGTCGGAAGGATCAATCTAACAATATTTGCTTAGAAAAGATATAGTTACAATAGCGATTATTTTCACTACGGATACTTACTATTTTTTAAATAAAAGATGAATTTATTGTTTTGGTCTGTAAAACATACACTATGTAACCCACTATATAACCCATCAAATTAATTTTGATTAAACGCGTAATAAACAATGTTAATAGATATGCAAAATCGTTTTAAAATTTGTCACAGTTAAAGTTGTAGGTTGCAGTTTTTTGTTTGATTCAAAAAATACGAAATTGTTGAAATATTTAGCAGAAGCTGAGGAAATTTGGCATCGTGCATCATTTTTTAAAATTCCGTAATCTCTCAAACTAACTGGCTGATATCTAAGTAAAGTTTCACACAAATTTTCATTTTTAATAGTGAATACAGCTAAAAATCGACATGAACGAATTTTCTTCTTTAATGAAAAAAACTTTATATCTATACATATCATACTTTTGTTGGCATCGAAATTAAACGTCGATAGCGGAATTTCAATGTGGAACTCATGAAATCAGTTGATTAAATAAAAAAGGAAACTTCAAAGTTGGTTTAAAGATTACAAGAAATGTAAATATTGCGGACTGATTCATAGACCGTCTGCTCGTCCGTATAAACATGCAAATAGTGTAAGCTCCTTGGAACATAGACTTCTATAGAACAGTGTTTAGATAGAGTTTATAGTTATTTTATCGATTCGTACTATATCTTTTGCAGGCAAAGATAAAATAATGATAGTTTAAAATAACAATAGCGAAAAAATTGTGATTAAATAGAGGTCTATGTATGAAATAAATTAAGTGTTAAAGGGATTAAGTTTGTAGCTTTAAGCAGTTGTATAATATTTTTTGTAATATTTTTGGAAAAATATTTCATTTGGAATAAAAATCAAAACAATTTTTTTTTGTTTGTACAAATATTAAACCCGAGAATCCACAGACCCGCAGTAAATAATAACTTCGCTTTTAATTAAACACTAGCACTCACCCTCGCCGTTTTAACGGTTAGTATAGATTTCTCATAGATGAAATATTTTCCCGCAGTAAAAAGTATACTATATGTTGACCCGGATACAGCTGGTTATCATCATACTAAATTTTATCAAAATCTGCCCAGTGGCTTTCTTGTGATGCGTTCCCAGACAGACAGACAGACAAAAATTCTAAAAACTACAGATTCGGCCTCTGTATCGATAATAATGACAATTTCAATAAGATTTTACAAAAATATTTAATGTACAGATTCAGCTTAGTTACAATTTTATTATATGTATAGATTTAGAAGATATTACAGTGATGAATCGTTTCGTTAGTTAAGAAGTCAAAAACAATCTTTTAAATTAGTTTACTGAGTAATGTCTTATCAGATGAAAAATGATTCCATTAGATAATGCTTAATTATCTCAAAAGATAAATGGTTCATTTCAGCTAGCTAAGAAAACTTTAAAATCTGTAATTAAATAAATCTTTTTCAAATTCAAGTTTTTAGTATTACTTAGCAGTTCGAAAGACATTTGTGAGGCAGGTGCATAATGCTTAATACGGTATATGGCTAAATAGGTTCTATGAAGTCGTGGGGCTCGTTGAGGCTGGTACCCTGGTGTTGGGATAGTACTTGTTTTCTCGTTACCTTCATGGTTTTTTTATTCGGTGATCTACAGCTTCGATATTTTTGTCGGGGTTTCCTTAGGCCGTGGGGTAACAAACCCCTAAAGGCACGACCATGCCTACTATTTTGGTCCGCGCCGGATCCACCAGCCACTCCGGTGCCACCAGTTCAGTACAGGTGGCGTTATCCTATCCGCCTGGGGACGCGTCCGGTAGGATTACTATAACTCCCCCGGGGCCTGACAACTTCTACCGCAAGTTGCGTAAGGCACTTCGATTCAAGCACTCATATATAATAATAATATTCTTAAAAAATCAAATAAGTTAACACAACACGTTAACAAAAAAATAGGTAGAATAGTAATGATACCATTTCCATTGAGTTCATTCTCCTTAGGACAAAATTGACATGTAAACGTTCTATTTACAAAGAATAAATTAAAATGCGCTCGTTTAATGTCAAAAACCGTTGTGTTACGTAAATTACGGGATCATTATGAAAATGAGTAAAATAAGACGAGCGATAAAACTCTTATGTTTACAAAACGTGAAATAACTGTTAATAATTATCTTAATTTTATTATCGATTAGACATGCTTCGCTATGTATATGATACAGAAAAAAAAACAAAGTAAACATAGGTCACAAAGGTGGACTTATCTCTAAAAGAGATCTCTTCCAGTCAACCCCTGGTTGTGGAAGAAGATGTCAGCGGGCAATATGGTGAAAAAAAATATACTAAATATGTACTAGAAATAAAGGTAATAATAATTACATATACATACATACATATATACATATATTACTTATAAAAATATATAATACTATACATATATAATACCTAATGTAAAGACTACTTATACATAAATACATATATACATATGGTACTTACATATAATGCAAGGGCAGGTGTTACACCATATTTAATTATTATTATATAAAATATATTATAAATTACTTATCATCATATTGGTAGGTTTTTTTTCGAAACGTTTAAAAGCCTATATAGTTCCTAACGGATTTTAAATTACATTTCGAAATTCTTTCATTTAACAAGGGGTGTTGTTATAGATAGTTTATGTTAATAGTTTTAGTATAATATAAACAAAACTGGGTAGTTTATTTGTTCTCCCTTATAGTATACAAGTTTACAGTACGTTCCAAGGCTATACAAACAGACTACTAATTTTGCAGTTGATGAGCAACCTGTCAAATATATATATATATATATATATATATATATATATATATATATATATATATATATATATATAACTTACTCGCTTGGGAAAACGAGTGAAGCGAGTTCAAATCCTGGGTTTCGAACCTCTGATATTTCCATGTGCGAATCATTTTCCAACACGATGACCACTTGTGTTACTGTAAATGAAAACATTGTGAGGAAATTTGCACGTCTAAGAAAACCTAGTTTTCGAAAGAAATGAATGAGTGTGAAGTCCGCCACCCCGAACTTGGCTAGCGTGGTGAATTGTGGCCTGATCCCCTTAGTATTGAAGGGAGGCCCGTGCCCAGCAGTTCTATTCTAACATTGACTACGAATAACGAATACGAATTGAGAACCTCCTCGTTTTTGGAAGTCGGTTAAAAAAAGAGAAATTTCAGAAAGTAGGTAGATCATCAAAAGTCTGAATCACCCGCAATTCAGATTAAAAGAAAATCTTAATCTAATTTACGGAACGTTATAAGAATGTCGTTAGCAGGTCTTTGACATACAATAAGTAATTTTTTCATTTATTTAGTATACTTTTTTTTTTCTTTTATTTATACTGACACACCTCCGATGTGGGAGTCGGAGTCCTTGTTTACAATTTTTCTTACTTGCTATTACATTGTTTTTTAAGCGGTATTCTACATATAGTCTTACTTTCTATTTGTACTTTAGAATTTAGTATACTAGTATTCGCGTAGTGGACGAAATCGATTGATAGTTATCATTATTAAAAATTTCAGGACAATATAATGTAAATTTTAACATAATAATATATATTTTTGCCCTATTTTACATTCGTTCATTGTGTATCGGAGGATAAACACTTTTATTAATTATACAAAACAGTGCAGTACCATTACTATATTTACTCAGTTTCAGTGTAAGTAGTATACTATTCTAGACTATAATCTATCTCTGTGCCAAATTTCATCCAGATCCGTTCAGCCGTTCTGGCGTGATTGAGTAACAAACATCCATCCAAACATTTAAACTTTCGCATTTATAATATTAGTATACATTTAGGTATATCGCATATAAAAAATCTTAAGTGTTTCTTAAATAATCTATTGATAGTAATAGAGCTTGTCAGTATCTACAAAATAAAAAAAATCGATTGTCTTGTTAGTCTTTTTGTATATGGAGATATTTTGACAGAACTATGTTTGAACGTCCATTTTCCTTAGTAAATTCAACTCGCATGCTTACTATATATTTATTCATTAAGTTTGTACAAGGAAATAATGAAATCGACTGCACAGAATAAAGCGAGCTTGAGAACAAATATTCTGTTGTGAATAAATAGTGGTTTAACTTCTTGGCATATTTCCAGTCCGCTGTTTAAATAAGCAAGACGTGATCTAAAGTAGACGAATTCATGCAAATTTGAGTTATAGACTAGGTATGAACACATTAAACTTAATGTATTTATTAACTGAGGTAATATTATAGGCAACTTATGAAAGGTTAATGGCTACTGAATATTATTTTATGCTACATACAGTACAGTACACATATAGTTATGTAGATATATAGATAGTCATATAGTTTTATATAGATAAGTAAAAACATTTACAAATATACATACAGAAAGTCCCAAAGATCTGTATAAGTAGTTGTGTTCAAAAGAAAGAAAAATTTTAACGAAAGTAGTAAGTTAATAAAGGCTATTTTATTTTATTTATTATTTATGAAAGGTTATTTCGCTGTACTATTCTTCTAGTTAGTGTATTTAGTCATTTTTAACGTCCCACTGCTGGGCACGGGCCTCCCGTGAATACGAGGAGGATCAGGCCATAGTCCACCACGCTGGCCAAGTGCTGGTTGGCGGACTTCACATGTCTTTCGAAAACTTGCTGGATTCTCTCAGACATGCAGCTTTCCTCACGATGTTTTGATTCACCGTAAGACAAGTGGTAATCATGTTGAAAATGATTCACACATGTAAATATCAGAGGTGCGAGACCCGGTATTTAAACCCACTTCACTCGGTTTCCCAAGCGAGTACGTTACCACTAGCCTTCTAGTGACATAATGAGATAAATATTGTAATTCGTTCAGTATACTTAAACTTAGAGTCTGAATAAAAAATAACACAACATTATAAATGCGGTGAGTTACTTTACTCTTAATGCTGTTATGCCTAAATTAGTTAAATTTATAAGTTAAACTTAGATTTTTATCAAATAGGCTATTTATTAGAGTATCTACTTCGCGAGCGGAGCCGCGGGCTACAGTCAGTATAGCATAAAATGACTCAGTATACCTCCAAACTAAGCTGGATCTACGATAAAAATCCTAGTATTCATAATGAAAATAGACGGCTATATATATTTACATATTACTATTCCTAACTCTTATTACTCCAGAAGTCATTTCCCGTACCTTGTTTGTAGAGTATAGAAGTTGAGCGTTTTCAATTAGATCGAGCACCGAGACCAGAGGGTGTTAAGGTTTACGACCGGACGTTAAAACGACGATTTTTTCTTCGAATTTCGTACTATTTCGAGATAATTTTTTTTGCTAGAATATACTTATCATACTATTATTATATATGTGAAAGTTTGTTTGTATGTTTGTGACTTTTTTACAAGGAAACGGCTGAACGGATTTGGATGAAACTTAGTAAACACAATTAATTATTAAGTTTAAAAATAATTAAACAGTTATATTATAGTAAAATTAATTTAAACATATTAGATAAAATAGTTTTAATAATAAAATACGAACATGTCATTACAGGTTTGAATTAGAAGAGCTAATTAAGCCGTCTTTATGTATTAAGTTAGAGCACACAGCTGTCAATATGCTTTTCGAGCATTAAATATAGTATGAGCTATAAGGTTCCTACACCTGATACCTTTCAACTTACTTGCTTTTACTAATATCTAGTGATTTTGTTGCAAGTAATATTTTATTTCATCATTCAATAAAATAATAAAAATAAAATAATAATAATAATAATAAAAAGCCGCAATTTTAAATACTTTTATATCTCTACTTAATAAAATCTGCTAAAAATCCGAAAAGTTAATCTTGTTAAAATATTTTTTTAAATGTAAGGTGATACTGATATGCTTACACTTGAGATTATTAAATATGTGGACTCAATATTTTAATATAAAACGACTTAATATTTAATATTGAATGCTTAATCAAACTCTTCGATGCTAAAAGGTATATACAACCTTTGGAAAGCATACTGTATAATAACTTCTACTTAGGCAGCTATACCTGCGGGGATTTGTAAATTTAATTTTGACATTCTTGCAACTCCTGTGGGAGATCTAGAGCATTTTTTACTGTTATTTTTATAATAGGTATAATGTGACTTTTCTATTAAATTATGACTGGTACTTCAAAAGCCAAAGAAAAAGAATTATATAAGAATTCGGCCACGGCAGCCAATCTCATTGGGTTTAGCCAACTGTTCAGGAGATATTATAGTGCAGCGAGAAGACGCGCAGACACAAGTGCACTCTCTATTCCTTTCACTATCATATATAGGAAGAGAATTCGACTCGACCACTGAGAAACTCTCCGAGGTACGTGAGTGAAACAACTCCAACTTCCCAACTCCGGGCTTTAATAACTGTGTGTTACTGTGACTCTTTTAACAGAAAGACTCGAATACTGAAACTTGTGCTGACCCGGGCCTCGAACCTAGGCCCTTCACATGTACGGCTGTACATGATAGCAACTACACCACTGAGGCAGTTGTGACAGACAGTGTAAAAATAGAGCAAATACATAATATATATAATTATACATTGTTTAAGATGTCAATAAATGTGGATACTATTCAATCGGTATTAATAATATTAATCTTACAAAGAAAATATGTTTTTAAATTGACAGCAAAAATTTGAGTATAAAAAAAATGGAATAAAAATTTTAAACTTTAGAAATATGTAGTTAGTATTTTTCACTAAATATTACATTTGTCAGTTCTCTTTATTACGAAATTTCCACCACTTAAATACATATATACTTATATAGTACATACAATATATGTATTATCTATGTATCTGACTTACTACTAAGTAGGATAGTAAATGATGACAGTTTTCTTTGAATAACCAATCTTATGCGCTGAGCATGAAAGCTTTATTTTCAAGAAAGTAATTAATTTAATTTTTATTACGTCTTTTAATTGGTGTGTTCGTTTATTGTATAAATATACTAGCGACTCTCCCTTGCTTCGCTTGGGTTCGTCCTTAGCTTGCTTCCCCATACAAATTTTCATCCTCATTTTCACCCCCCGTATGTTTTGCGGGATAAAAAGTACTCTATATCCTACCCAGGGTCTCAAACTATCTTCTTACCAAATTTCATCTAAGTCGGTTCAGTAGATCCCGAGATTACCCCCTACAACCTCACAAACTGACAAACTTTACCTCTTTATAATATTAGTATAGAAAAAATAAAAACGTATATTATTAGTACGTACTATAATTACCATTTCACCTATAGGATTCAGATTACATTATAATCTACCATACTGGACGAATACAGGTGGGCGGTGTTCACAAGTCTTTTGTAAATCATTCTATTCTCTCAGATGCAGATTTCTTCACGATATTATCCTTTCATCTTTCATCGAAGAAGAAGAAGAAGAAGAATAATAAGTCTAAATTGTGTGGAAAATGAAATATATAAAAACATATGTGTGGCGTAACTTGTTACTTTTTTGTTTATTCTTCACGCGTCTTAACTTTTACATAATGTATATAGATGCGTCGTATAATATTTTTCGGGGCAATCTTCCCTTTAGAGTCACATCACATGGGCAAGAATAGATAAGAAATTTTGTAAATAAATTACGTATGGCAGTTCGATCCGCTAGTTTCGTATCCACCAGTCAACACTCAAGGGATTCGTTTCGCGCAGTTTTACGATGCCTTTGAGGTTGAGAACGTACCAATATGTGAAAATCACGGTCTGTATATACAGACGTATTTAATTATATTTTATAGCTATCTGTTTTGAGCAATTCCGTAGTTTGGAATTAACTGCAGTCGTATATTTCGTAGTCTTTGTTCTAATAATAGTCTCTATTTAAATCACCTCTAGGTCTAAGTTGAGTGTCAATAAAATATTTGTGGCTCCCCCGGATCCACCCAAAGACTCTCTGAAAATACTAAAATTTGCATTACACTACAAAGAAATATCTAGTTTGAAGTAAATTTTGTAAAAAACATATTTTTTTACCAAAGGATCTAAGTAACACGTTATGGAGTAAATTTACAAAAAAAAAAAAACTTAGTTATGTCGTTTAAGTAAATCGCTGTCATAATTTCAGTCTGAAGGACCGTTGATGTTGCAGTAATCATACAATAAATAAAGAAATGTCTATTTATATTTTAGACGTATTTACAGATTGTACCAAAGAAAAAAACTGTATGAATTAATTTTATTTAGAACAAGATAAACATCACTTTTAAACAAAGCTTTACAATTTAGCTTACCCTAAAGTTTTTGGACAAGGTGGCAGGTACGGGATATATGCGGGCTGTCTAAGATCAACCATTCCGATGGTTGGCGTTCTATGGGGGAGGCTTTCGTCTAGCAGTGGATGGCAATAAGCTGAAAAATACGAAAAAAAAAATTAACATAAATATTACTTTAAAGAACGTTGACTGATATTTATGATAATTTCGGTATTTTTTTTTAGAGAAATTATTAAAATTTAAAACTGTTTGTGAATTTTATAGGAAACATATTCAGAAATGTTTTATAACTAACTATATTAAAACTAGCTTTTGTATGTCGCTCCTCTCACTTAGTTTAATAATTAAGATGCTAATTGCTACGCCTTTAAAGTTATCGTAGTGTGATGTTAGATCGTTTTTAACTTTTCTCACTAACAAGGCTATAAAATATATACTTTTCATTTTAGTCTGAGAGTTTTAGAGATTAGAGCGTTAAAGCAAAGTAAAAACTATATTCTTTTGCTTTATATCATACTTACTAACAGTAACTGCAGCTTCGCCCGCGTTTAAACTTCTGACCTCTCCCAAACTTCACAGGATTACCCTCTGAGCAAATCTGAAGGTTGCCTGAAAATTTCATTAAAATCGCTACAGCCTTTTTGGAGCACACAGGAAACATACATACACACATCGATTTACTTATATATATATATATATATATATATATAAATATATATATATATATATATATATATATATATATATATATATATATATATAATTATATAGATTAGTACAGTTATTATTTTCTTGCAGAGAGCTGCAGCGGATGCTGAGGCGGCATTAAATGCAATGGCACAAGAGAATGCCGAAAACGATGGACGAACATCTCAACTATCACATAATGTTGATATTTCAATAATTTCCAGTAAAGAGAGCTCAAAATTAAATACTCCAGATGAATCAGGTCCTCGCGATTGGTCAGAAATATCATCAGTGTACTTAAAAGGCGATTCTAGACCAGAAGAAAAAGCAGTTTGTTTTATAAAACCGATAATTTTAGTTAATGACAAACCGCACGAGGATTTCGACCAGAAATGGACTAATATAGTAGAAACATTGAACAATAATGATAGGTTAAAAGGATATCAAACAAGGAGGAAATTTAAAAGAAAATTCTGTAGAAGAAGAAGGCATGCGGCGTTTAAGAGATCGTATTCCATTGGTTGATTTTATTATTTAAAATACTGTGCAGAGCAAAATAGACATTTTTCAAGTAGGTAGTAAGAATACAGCTGTGTAATAAAATATATATCTAGTCAGTTACATTAAACAGTTCAGTTAAAATATAACTTTATTATAGCACAAAAACGATTCTTTTTTATAAAATGGATACTTTTCATCAGAAAATAATAGCTTTAATATATTTTCGAAAGATTTACCGGGATTTTTTATATATTTGTATATGCCATCATACTGCAACAAATTGTCAAAAGAATGGTTGGTCATTTCGGCTGGTATGGTCATATTTTCAATCTTTTAAAAAGTTTCCTACAATTAAAACCATTGTGACCGTTTATTTTGTATTCATATTATTATAACAAACAAACATAACCGCACAAATGAAATTGGGCAAATATTACTGCTCTGCTCTATATATAATTTGTAAACGTTATGAACCGCAAAATTGTTCAGCACATCCACTAATTAGTCAATAATATGCTGAGATCTTGAACATATTATTAATTCGAATCACAATCATTATTTTTCTAAAATAGTTTTGTTTTGTTAGAATATTAAGTTCTGTTTAAGTTAAACTAAGAAGTTATTGCAGAATAGTTGAATGAAAGAAAATCTATACATTATTATAATAAAATTGTAACTAAGCCGAATCTGTACATTAGATATTTTTTGGAAAATCTTATTGAAATAAACATTATTATCGATACAGAGGCCAAATCTATATATATATAACAGTTTTTGGAATTTTTGTCTGTCTGTCTGTCTGTTACCGCATCACGGAAAACCCACTGGAGGGATTTTGATGAAATTTGGTGTGGCGATAGCTGGTTATCCGGGTCAACATATAGGATACTTTTTACCGCGGGAAAATATCTCATTTCTCAGAAAAAATACAAAAACTGCAATGTAAGAGTGTACTAATATGTAAGACCTAAGAATTTAGTTTTTGGTCATCAAAACGCGGGCGGAGCCGCGGGCAATGCTAGTATATTATATTTTGATAGTTGCAAAAATGTAAAATCCACTACTAATATTACGTATGTGTTATTAAGAGTATAGACATTTATTATTGTAATTTGTTTAATTGTATATAAATTGGAACTATTATATTAGTTATTATTTAAATAGGAAAATTTGGGACCACATGACATATTATTATTAATAAAATAAATAAAGATAAAAACCCATTGTAATTAGGTATTATTTGCCTATACTTTTATTTTATCACTTTAATTTAACTCGTCTGTATTTATTTATAATGTATTATAAGTTACTAGCAAAACTAGAGAAGAAGAGCTTCGCTCGCGCTAAAATTACGAAAAATCTTTAAAAAGGTAGTTTCATACAAACTTTCATCCCCTATTTCACCATCTTATAGTATGAATTTCGAAAAAATGCTAAAACACGTATTTATTTAATTTTATTGAAGAGCATTAATACCAAGTTTCAAGTAATTCTGATCATATTTTTATTTTGGATTTTATTATAACGTGTTTTCCCGTGGGAATGAGATAATCCCCCGCGGTAAAAAGTAGCCTATGTCACTCCCCAGCCCTCTAACTATATCCACACAAAAAATCACGACAATCCGTCACTCCGTTTCGACGTGAAAGAAAGACAAACAAACAAACAAGCAAACAAACATGCTTATAATATTAGTATGGATGTATTATAAGTTATTTAGTTATTTATTTTTGTCGTCTGTTTTTTTTTAAATTCATATCTTAAAATTCAATTTTGGAGAAAAATTAAGTTCCTACATTTTGATATAAACGACAATTACAATTACGTCTGCGAATATAAAGTCAATTTTAAAAAAGAAAATTACTCATGTAGTAAATTGTAAAGTTTTGGTACAAAACAGATGGCTAATTGGAAGGAAAACATTAAGAAAATAGGTTATTTCAGCTTAAGTTTTCAATTACTCAACGTACAATAACGAAAATAAACTTTTTATTTTACGTTACGTATTCTTATTCTTAATTGTTTTTTTTTATCTTACATTTATTATTTTAATGTTTGTGACAAGAGTGTTTGTTAATTTACGTGAGTTATAATTTGCAATATCATTGTACAACAATGAAAAACTTTTCCTATATTAATCGTGATGCTGCTGACAATTAAAAATTACTGATCATTAATAAAATTTTTACACACAAGAGAAAATCTTGTTAATTTTAGTTATGTGGGCAGTCACATTTCTTTTAAGATTCTCAGTAATTAAGATTATCTATTTAATAAGCTGTTCCAGATAAAAAATTGTATTTATATGATATATTATATTATCATTAAAAGGCATAGATTGAAATAATCTTTCGAACTACAAAACCGATACCAAAACTATTATAACCAACAGAAAGATTCACTATACCAGATGCATATATTTGGCTGGTTTTCATCCGACTCGAATAAATATATGAGCATTGCGAGCAGAGAAGAAAGTGAAAACTGGAAGGTGAACAATGTGTATTGCATTAAAACTGCACTATTATATTCCTATGTCAGATGGATTTATGTTCGATGGGAAATATATATTCATTTCGGCATAAGAATAAAAAATTTTGATGTATTATGTAGGTACTTTCAAACAGCAAAATTTAAAAATGGCTTATGGAAAAAAGAAATCTCCTAAATACTTTTAAGCTAAATATCCCAATAAAGTTTCTTTGTTTTGAGTTTTGGGTTACCATAAACAAAAATGTTAATATGGCCAATTCACATATGATGCAAGGTCCATCCCGCAAGCTGCATCATTAGAAACACTCGTACGATACGTTCCTTAATATAATTATAGATGTAAAAGTGTGTTTGTTAATATGTTCATTGAGCGACAGATCACAACGATTTTTGGAATAGAGATAATTGAATGATAGATTTATGAAGGTTACTATCGGTCGGGTATATGAAGTGTCGAGTTTTGACCGCATTCTTTAATTTTTACAATAAACAACAAATATCTGGTGAGTACGCGTATTGTTAGGCAAATAAAGAACCGACCACTAATCTATATAAGCAAAAGAATTAAGAAACACAAAAAAAGTAAGGTTTTTATTATATAGATCAGGGATTTCTTTTGAATTTTACACAAAATATAGCTATTCATATCAAAAACAAAGAAAACGTACAAGATAACATAATGGTCTTGTTAATTTATGGGGAGTTTGTCTATACCATAATTGCTTTTCTTGGTAATGACAGGCTTTTATCGCTTTCATCTTAATTGTTGGCATCATATTTGATCGTCGCTCGCAAAGAATACGCTCTGCAGGGGAAAGAAAATATAGCTCATTTATTATCTTGTTTCTAACAGTTTGTTGAAAAATCTCTTATGAATAACTTCTTTTGTTTTCTTTCTCTGAATTTAATATAAAACCTTTTACACAAAAATGTAAACCTATTTGAGTAACTAAACGGGATTTTTTTATTTATATAAATAACCTATTGTATCAATTTTTTTTTGTTAATTTTTCTTACAGTTTCACTTTGACTGTTTGTCAGACTATCCATCTGTCCGTATGTCGCTGCCATTTTACTCGATACAACTGATATTATAAAGCTGAAATTTCTCTCTCATTTGAACTTATAGAAAATTATAAATAATAAAAAAAATAAGGTAACTGAGGACTTAAAAAAAATTGAATGGATATACATACATACATAATACATACATAAATATATGTATAAATTTACAAATGGTATAGATGATTTAAAAAGTTTTTTTTATTTAAGCCTAAAAGCTATTATAATATTATGTACTAATATAGCAGCTATAAAACTTTCTAAAGGGCACACACAATTTATTTTGTGTAGTAAATTTTGGTTCTATATTGTATTGTTAGTTTATCAAATTTTTAATTGAGCTATACAAGGTTTAATTAAGATAACCTTAAAAAAAATTTAACTATAGGAATGAACCGCGTTAGTGACTGCCCTACTCTTTGTTAAAATCAAGTATATCTACGAGTGTATGTTGGTGTTGTCATGTTACTCATAACATGAACATATTCACAAATATACATCATATATTATAATATGTTATAGAAAATCATATATTATAATATGTTAGAAGAAAATGAATTATTGTTATTATTGTATTATTATTATTATGTTTTTTTTTATTATTATTATTACTACTATATAGTTCACACCCCTTCCCTCTTACAGTTTGCCAATTCCAACACCTTAAGGTTGCCTGGAAGAGATCGCTGTTTTAGCGATAAGGCCGCCTCTTGTACATAACTCTTTTTATATATTTCTTGTAAATTTTTTCTTTTTTCTCTTGTGGGTGTACAATAAAGAGTATTTATTATTATTATTATTAAAATCCGACGAAATACGAGCATGTCGACGTTTAACATAAAACACCTACTAGTAAAACTTATTAAAATTCAGGAGAGTGCCGTCTTACAATATACTGAATATACTGCTATTTACAAAACTCGCTGTGACACACGTATGTAACAAATGCTTTAATAAAGCCATTTATTTTGTCAAGTCATATGATTTTTATGTTTTTTCAGCTCGCTTTCTAGAATGTCTCATAGTGTCACATAATCCATACTAATATTATAAATGTGAAAGTGTGTTTGTTTGTTTGTTTGACCTTCTTTCACGTCGAAACGGAGTAACGAATTGGCGTAATTTTTTGTGTGGAGATAGTTGGAGGGCTGGAGAGTGACATAGGCTACTTTTTATCACAGTAGATTACCTAATTCTCACGGGAGAACACGTTAAAATACAATCCAAAAAAATATTTATTATCAGAATTACTTGAAACTTGGTATATTTATTATATATACTCTTCAATAAAATTAAATAAATTTTGTACGGTCTTAACATTTTTCTAAATTCATCCTATAAGGGGGTAAAATAGGGGATGAAAGTTTGTATGAAACTACCTTTTTCGAGATTTTTTGTAGTTTTAGCGCGAGTTAAGCCGAGGGTTTTGCTAGTATTTTATAAATATTGTTGTGTAGCTGCGATTA